GAGAGGATCCCTAGGCCTCACTGAGACCCATGTCCTCATTTGATAAGTAGGAACAAGCAGGCCAGAGATGGAAGGGCACGAAGACCTCGGAGCAAGTCAGAGCAAATCTGGGATCAGCACTCAGTCTCCCAACTCCCATCTACCTTGTTCCCCAACACTCCACGCTCCTCTGGGGGGCATGGAATCTCCTCCCAGAGCCTTTCCCACAAGAACACAAGTACCACCATTTATTTCCCACACAGTCCACACCACGCACTACACTGCCACATGCTGCTGCAGAGCATCCCCCTGAATGTCCATGCAGTGGCCATGGTCTCTAGTTTCCTGGTAAGTACATGGGCTCAGAGTTAGGAAGTGATTTTCTTAAAGCCACAAACCTAATACTATGTGACTAAGCCAGGATTACTATTCGAACTTTTTAAAATATTTCTGACCACCCCTCCCCATCAGGTCAGTCCTAACAACAACAGCCTTCAGGAAATCTACTGAAAACTCTCAGTCTCGAGGTTATACTCTCTCCCTCACAATGGGGCAGTCTTTGGCTAAGGCTGTCCAGATCTTTGGCAGGGTCCTGCTCTTCCCTGCTGGTGCTTTGGCCCTGCTATGCAAAACGCTCCTTCAGCTCTAACTCCACATCGACTTCCACTCTTGAAGGCCTCAGCAATATTTGGCCTTCTCCAGATGTTGGGGTCAGAGCCACGGCCTCTAGAACCAGATAGGAGATGAGGGGGCTGTCTTGTCAGGAGAGGATTATGCGGCGGCGTGAATATTGATGAAGCTGTAATTGGCTCTCTCTCTCTCTCAGAGCCCGAGTGTCTGCAAGCCCAGGCGCTGGGGCTAATTGTTGCAGGCAATTAATAACTTGGATCATATTCACCCTGGCGCAGGCTGCCTGCTTCCTTGGAGAAGGCAGACAAGGCTGGGAAAGGAGTGCTAGGCCTGGATGCTTGCGGAATTCTGGAGGAGGCAGAAGGAGAGGGCTACCATCTGTCCAGCCTCCCCCAGACGCTGTCTGCAGCACCTCGGACCCCAGCCTGGCCCTCGTACACATGCTCATACTCACCTTCTAAGCAGAGTTTCAGGGAGGAGGAAGCTAGGGGGAGAAACAAATGGAGATTCTGGAGAAGCTCTGAATTGGAATCTGGAAGGCCTGGGGTCCAACCCAAGTTCTTCCACTAACTTGCTGTGTGATCTTGAGTCAGAATTTCGTTTGGCATGAACTTGGGTGAGTTTCATAAGCTCTTTTGCATCCATTATGTCACATGAACTGCGATCACCTCTGAAATTCACAGAGATGGCGGTTCGCCATTCTAGCATCTATTTCTCTCTACCGAACTATACATAGAACTATCAAACTGTTACCCATAAGACTGTACCACACTTCAGAGGAAAAGAAATTACAGACACATTTAGGCAGAGTTCATTACTACTCCCATTTTGCAGATGAAAAAATTGAGTGTCAAAGAAATGAAGTGACTTGCCCGAAGTCAGATAATTTTTGAAAGACACACGTTAAAAACTAAGCCCATGGGGCCAGCTGATAGCATGGTGGTTAAAGTGCTGAAGTCCCACATGGCTGACCACAGTTGGAGTCCCAGGCCTGATGGCCTGCTGTCTCACTTTTCCTCTCTCTCTGTCTTTCTCTGGTGAGCACACCTGCCCTGTGGCAAAGCAAACAAACGAAAACAAAAACAAAAATACTAAACCCAGTTTCCTTAATCTGGAGCTCTTCCCAGTGGACTTCAGCCCGCCTGACTCTGCCCAGGCTTCCTGGAGAAGGTGAGATGGGCGGTGGGTGCTAAGAACCCCCAAGTTGGTATGTTAGCAGATTGACAAGAGAACTACTCATACATGTCTTTATTCTATCCCCTGATGCTGGGACAATGCCTCGATCTTCCGTATTTTTCAAGAGAAATGCTCCCAACCCTCCGCATACGCTTAGCCCTCAGCTGCTCAGCCATCTGATGTGAAGACTTGATCTGCGCGCCATCCCCCTCATCAGGGATGGGGCGATGCAGAGAGAGGTATTGTGGTTAGCCTTGCCCAGCAGATGGGAATAACAGGAAAGAAAAAGTGCTAATATTTGCTCAGAGTTTCACAGGTGCCGTGTAGTGTGCTAAATGTGGTTTTTGCACAGAGATGACGTCATTCAATAGAATCTAGAACCACTACTAGGAGACTGGTACTTTTTCTATCCCCATTTTATAGATGAGATGATGGCTCAGCAAAGGAGAAGTGACTTTCCCAAGGTCGCGTAACTGGGAAGGGGTGGACAGAAATATAGCCTTACCAAGAGGGGTAGAGTCAGAGGCTGTGCTCACAGAGTCAGAGGCACAGAGCGTTGGAGAGAAAATAGAAGTGGAAATAAAGGGATAGGAGCCGAGGACAAAGCAGCCCTTTATAGCTATCCCCCTTACAATAGCAGGCTTTTCAATTAGTCGTGAAGACAGAGTATAAGGGAAGCAGCTTATCGGCACCAAGAGGCATTTAAATCAGACCCAGGAAGAACTTCCACCAGACTGTGCTGGAATGGAGAGCCAGAGGGGACGCAGAATCTCATTTTCTGTAGCCCCTTAGCCAGCAGATCATCTGGAGACTGGAGTCATCTTTGATGCTCAGCTGGAGGGAAGGGAGGCTTCAGGGAGGTGCCCTGAGGTTGGGCAGGGATCTTGGAGACCAGCATTCCCAGGTCCCTGTAAATAGGCTTCTTGCAGGCAGAGTGGGCAATGGAAGAAAAGGGAGTCTGTATTTGAGCCCCAGGAGGAGGATGCTCGAGGCTTTCCACACCCGCACCAGCTCCTGCCGCCGCCACCAGTTCCTCTTTATGGCAGGCATATTTCAAAGGCCCGGTTCCATTTGCATTTTTAAAACCTGCTGATGGCCTTGGAAAATTGCATCCTTCCAGTGTTCCTGGGTACCACACTCCCCACTTCCTCCTCCACTCTACAGGCCTCTGCCTCTGCACCCTCCCTGTACAGAAGGTCCCCACCAAGGGCAGGGGAAGCCCAGACCCACCGGAGATCATCTGGAGGCCCTGAAAGCTCAGAGAGGAGTCGGAGGATGGTGCGGTCATGGAGGCCACAGCTATAGCCAGCTAGGGCCCATTTGAAGGTGGTGAGAATTGCATCAGGGCACAAAATCTACTAAAATTACCTTCCAGGGGAAGCATTCCCAGGCGTGGGCTGAGGGTGGCACGGCACCATGGGGCACACCAATGGGATGCCCCCACAGATTCGTCAGATTGAGAAGAACAGTGCCGGAGCCTTGGAAAACTTTGAGGAGGCTCCTAGAAGCAGCCTTAAAACAAACGGAAAAGAATTAATTCATTCACCCAGCAAAGAAAAACCATGGCTCTCAGCTGGGAACACACTTTATGTCTTCCTATTGCTCCCTTAAAAACAAATCGTTTATTCATTCTCCCTCCTCCCACCCTCTTCCCCGGCTCCTCCTTCTCTACCTTCCTTTCAGGATATGGCAAATGGGGTTGGAAGTTTGCAGAGGGGTGCTGGGTCTGTTCCTTTGTGCTGATAGGTCCAGTTTGCCCTCTGATCCTAGAGCAGCGATGTGCACACTCTTTACTTCTTGGAAGAGGTCCCCAGTCTCTCTACCCTCTCTGAGCAGAGAGTGGAATTCATCGCAAAGGAACGGCCCCCAACTGTAATGTCGCCAGGGCCAGATGGAGCCGCTGGGAGTCCTCCGACAGACTTGGTCAGTCTGACAACAGCTCCCCTGTCGATCCTGAGCACATGGGGAGTGAGTGCCAGGGCAGGGACACTGGCTCGGGCCATTGGCTTCTGCATAGATGAACTCTTGGGGCATCCAGGGTCATAAATACCAATGTGCCCTGCTGAGAGCCAGCCAGTGGGTTCGGCTCCAAGACTGCACACCAGAGAGACAGAGTAGGAGTCCCACTCAGCACCCTAAAGGCTGAGGTGTCCCAACTCGGTTTTCCTTTCTTAAACATAATGGTGGTGGGGCGTGGAGGTGGGGGAGGACTGACATGGGCTGAGTGCCTGTGTGTCAGTGTGGGGCTTATGTTTCGTCCTGTGACCCTCCCATGTTTTGATCTCTTCCATACGCTGGACACTTCTGCAGGCAGGGGTTGTGTCTCACCCATCTCTCTAACACCCCAGTTCCTCCCTCAGCACACACTCCGAAAATGTATGAAACTCCTGGTTCCCCTCTCACACAGCTGTGGCAATGTCTCCCTTCTTTCTGGCTTTCATTATTAACACCCCCCAGGTCCTGCAGCTGGGGGCTGGCAGCTGGTGCTCCTTTGAGACAGCCCTCTCCCCCTCATGCCAATGCTTCTGAGCCCTGACAAAGAGAAATAGGCCAGGACATTGGTTTTGACTCCCCAGGCCCCTTCCCCTGTGGCCCTCCAGCCAGGGGTGTCGGGCAGATCGTGAGCTAGAGATGGAGGGATGCCCAGTCCCAGGGGCTGGCATGACTCCGGGCTCTGGTGCCAGAGAGGTGAAGGGAGAAAGAGAAGGAAGGGATGGCGCCAGGAGCCTGGGCTTGGCAGCTCCCTCCGGAGGGCACCCAGGGATGCCCTCGAGTGTCCAGGAGACTGGTGACCTGCCAAAGCTGGGCAGACGGGCTGGAAAACAGGAGCGCTAGCCAGGGAGAGACTTGGGAACCCAGGAAACTCAGAGGCGGAGCAGGAGCCTTGACCAGGGCCTTTTGCAAAGGCGGGGACTGACCCCCAGGGGTCGCTGCGCCGCGCGCGCGGCCCCCGCCTGCTGGCGAGGGGAGCCCGGTTGTACCACCGCATGTCTCCCGCAGGGGGAGCGGCGGCCACGGCGGCGCCTGGCGGCGGGCTCCGGAGACAGCAGCAAGCGGCGGAGCGCAGGCCCTCCCTAGCCACTGACGCAAGGCCCGGCGGCGCGGAGGCCGGAGGCGCCAGTGGCCGGGAAATGGCTCGGTTCCAGAGCCTGCCCCGGACACCCCCGTACCTCGTGGTAGGAGCCGGGACCCAAACAAAGGCGGGCGGCGAATAAAAGGCGGCGGCGGCGCTTAGTGCTCGGGGTTGTGCGCTGGGGACTGGCGTCTTTACGAATCTGTCTGCGTTTTGTGCGCCCTGGAGCGGAGCGGGGAACCCGGCATCCAGCAGCTCCGAGCAGCTTTCTCCTGCGACACCCGCGAGGGTACAAGTCTGTGCCCGAGTGGCCGCCCTGCCTCTCCTCTAGCCCCGCTCCTCTGGCGCTAGCCCTCCGGCACCCGCGACTCAGCTCAGCTCGGCCGATCGAGGTGAGTGCGACGGCCGCTGGGCACCATCCGTTCTCGGGGCTAGGGATATATTGCCTGGAGCAACCGGGCAAGTCCTTCCGCACTCCGGCCTGCGAGAGGCCGTGTATGAAGTTCTCGCTCTCTCCGGGTAGCCTGGGATGCGGGCCTCAGAGCCCCTCGGGAAAGCTGGCTATTGGTGGGCAGAGCCCAGAGCTTGCCCCACGCGGCCGGGCCCCAGCTCGGTACCAACTCTCCGCGGGGCCAGAGCAACCTCAGTCTGCCGGGGCGAGTTTGATGTCCAGAAACGTCTAGGCTTCCGACCTCTGATCCCCTGCCCATCCCTGCAGGTGGAAGTCTGGTTCTAGAAAAGTTGAGCGTCAGTCTTAAGCCGCCCCTGGATTGGTCTCGTGGCCAGACTAGAGCGAAGGAATGGAACAGGGAAAGGTTAATACCCCTCTCTCCACCCACCATTTACCTTAGCGCACGCTTGCTCTCAGCGGGACATTTCCCAGTCCCAGATCCTAGTTAACCTGGCTGCAGTTCTGGCCAGGCGCTTTGGGGCTCCAGATCCGACCCGGCAGGCGAGGGTAGCCGTCGCAGGAGGGACCCCCGGCTCTGCTGAGAACGTGAATGAGGGCGGAGTGGGGTGGGCATCCCGCAGTGGCGGCGCTGAGGGTCAGGGGAACATTTCCACGCGAGTGGCAGCGAGTCCCCTGAGCCAACCCCGCCGCTGGGAGAAGTTTTCCCAACTCCCGGGGTAGGCCTGCACGCAGCTGGCCCGGGAAGGCGCCTTCTCGGGGACTTCCCCTCCTCGGTCCCCCCTCTGCTCCTTGGCGGGGCCCAACTCGCCGCGATCCCTCCTGAGGCTGGGCGGAGGTGCCCGGTTCCATTCCAGGTCAGCACCGCGGACAGCGTCTCGAGCCGGCCTCAGAGATTGGCCACCTCGCGCACACCTGGGGACCACGCACACACACCCATCCACACGCACACACACAGATCTAAGAATCACTCGCAAACGATCCACATATAGACTCAGAATCGCCCACAGTCTGTGGACAAACACAGATATTCCCACAAGCACCAGTATGTGAACCCAGACAGATACTGCTGTCTCCGAGGTACTGACTAAGCCCTAGACTCCAGAGACCACCGCCGGCTGTGCGCACCAATGCCCAGTGACACAGAGCCGTACACACACACACACACACACACACCTTACTCCTCTGAGGGGAAGCAGTAGGGACACAGGACGAACACCCCCACCACCACCCCCTGGGTATTGTTGACGGGAACCAGGGCATCTCCCGAGAGAGAGAGAGGAGGCTTGGTTCAGTGGAAGCTCCGGGCAGAATCCCAGCCCCAGCAGGTGCCTTATGGAACCTTGGCTTTAAACTCATGGTCTGTTTTGCTCAACTTGCACCCCACATTCACTCCCTCTCTTCAAACCTTATTCCAGACCCAATTCTTTGCCTGTGCCGTCTTGTTTTCTGCTGTTCCCTCTCCAGGTTATCTTCAGCCTCTCTACCACCGCACCTCCTGGTTTGGGGTCTTGCCAGTCGCCCTTCCTAACTGCCTTCACTTCTGTCTCTGACTTCCTCAGCCTGGGTCCGACCCAGCCAGTCTTGCTCTGAAATGGGCATAGCCAACCCTTAGGGGAGTGGGCTCCATGCTCCAGACTTTTCTGCTCAGTCACAGCCACTCTGTCCCCACCCTTCTCTTGGAAACCTGACACTGCCCCCCTCCACGGCCTAAGCAGCTTCAGTCCCCTTCTCCAGGAGATTCTCCAAGGCCAGATGCCCCAGAGCCCCATGGTGTAGTCTCTAAGGGGTTGGGATTCTTGGGGGGGGGCAGGCAGAAGATTCTGGAATCAGCAAAACTCCACTCCCCACCCCCACAGAGATTTGGCTTTTGGAAGGCTCTGGTGCCCATGTCCCCTGGTTTACCCTTTGACACCTTGTCTACTTTTGCCCTTAAAATCCAGGCATTGGGTTGGAAGAGGCTCCATCCCAGCACAGTGCGGGGAAGGAGCACTGACGGGAAGCGAGACCTGGATCCCAGTCTGCACTTGACCAGGCCCCTGGTGTGCCCTTGGGCAGATTACTCTCCTCTGGGCTTCAGGTTTGCCATCTGTTAAAGAGCAGGGCTGGTTGTGGTGACCCTTAAGATCGCTTTTTGACTCTAGCAATCTGGAACACTGACTCTCCAGTGAGGCTCTTCAGTGTGAGTGGGATTGAAAATCACCGTTCCAACCACAGAAGTTATGGTACTTTTCTCCTTCTTTAGAGTCACCACCACTGGTAAGGTCATCCTGTGCCCTGAGTGAGAGACGTTCAGGTGGTCTTAATAGGACCAGAGATGTCAGGTCATTTTCCTGAGGTAACGGTGCTGAAGTGCAGTCTCCATGGGGGCAGACATTGATTCTTCTGGCATGGTATCCTCTCTATGAACCACTGTTTCTGCTGGCAGTTGTTTGATGGATGAATGAAAACAAATGAATGAATCAATCAATAGAAAACTGGATGCTTACACCTGAACCTCCTGATCCCCAGATCCTTGGAACTATAGTTTAAGCCCTTTCTCTGATTGTTTCAACATGGTTTCTGCATCTCCCTGCGTCCCTTCCACTCACGTACTCATTCAAAGGCAGATGGAATTGTTGCGTTAAGGTTCTTCCTCCCAAGGGGCAGATTCTGGACTGGTTGCAAATGACCACAGAGAAGGGACTGGCTGAGAGCAGCCTTAGAGGTCCTGCCTGGTGGCTAGGGGCTTGGCAACTAGCCCCAAGTCCCTAAGTCTTGACCGAGTAGGCTGCCCATAGTCAGTTTGTTGCTGGCCAGGATCTAAGACTGAAAAAGAAGACAGGAATTACCACCATTTGGCCAAGCAACCTCTTCTCATAGTTCCATGAACTGGGGACTGCAAAAATCACCTTTACGGATGAGCAAAGTGAGAGGCTGAGAGGTGAGGTGGCTTCCCTAAGGGCAGTTACCGCACCCATTGTCAGCTATAAGTTAGCCACCCAATGGTGGTGGTATGGTGGTGGCCATGGCTGATAATATTGTTAGCACTGATAAAGGTGTGAACATTATTCTCATAGAAAACTCAGTGATTAGCCTCTTTGGTTCCCTTCTCCCTCTGAAATTGTTTCCCCACCTGAACCCTTCTTAGAGTCCTCCCTCCACCCAAATATGGGAACACCGAGGGCTGGAACCATGACGCAAGGGTGTCCGATTGTCCATCAGTCCTAACCAAGGAAGAGGGCTTGCCATTTACAATTTTCCTCTTCCCACCCACCTCCCCCCACCTGAGCATGTTTCCTGCCAGAGGAGCTGGGAGAGATGTCAAAGTCTGTCAAAACACCCTTCCAAGCTAGATTCAAAAGCGCCAAAGCCCAGGGAAAATAAATAAAGAGAGCAGTGTCTGCCCGAAATAGAAACATGCACCAACTCACAAATATGCGTGTTTTCCAAAAGTCGCATTTCATGGGCAGACAGTGCGGCTCGCGCTCCAGCTGCTCAACAAAAGCCAGAGGCAGGGCCGCTGCCGGGACTGGGCAGAGCCTCTCCGGTGAACTCACTCCCTGCCTGGCCATGGGGTGACCAGATGGCCACGCTCCCACTCTGCACCAGCTGGAAGGTACACAGGTGGAAGGATTGCGATCAACACGCGTTTTTGTGTTAGCAAGAGCTCTTTGGAAGTGGGCACCAGACAGGGTACTGGCCTCACGTCCTTTGCCTCACGGCAGGAGGCTGGTGAGAACCATAACAGTAGAAGCTGCCGGTTGTTGAATACCTACTGTGTGCCCATGCTGAGTGCTCACATGGACTGTCTTATGAAACCCTTGCAACCCTCTCACGGCATGGGAATTGTTATTCTCATTTAATGTATGGGAAGACCACAGTTCAGAGAAGTTAGGAAACTTGCCCAAGGTCGCACAGCTACAAGATGAGTTTTGACCGAATGAAGCAAAAGTCTCCATTTTGCCCAGTACTTTGCGTTGTTTCTGGTTATTTATTTGTTCATTCATTCAATAAATATTTTTTTGCTGAGAGACCCATTTACATGATGGTTCTCAAAAGAATGTAAACTCGGGAACCAGCGGTTAGCGTAATGGCTATGTCGCTGGACTCCCACGTAGTCGACCACGGTTCGCGTCCCGGACCCGGTGGCTTAAAACTCACGCC